CCCATCCCCATTTGGCATGTGATTTTTTGTCTAGACAAGTCTGCTTACTGTGACAAAACTATCCCCAACACACTTGGGTTAAAGTGCTTGGCTGACCCAATATTCCAGGTTAATGCACTGCACTACTCGGGGCTTAAGGGCAGGTCATAATCCCCCAGTACAGGGCACCTTCACAGGCTTTTGCAGGAAGACAATTTCACCTGAGAAACCCAAGTCCAGCTCAGTTACACAAAGAGCCACATCATAAGATCTCAGTGCCAAAAGGTCACGGAGCAGCAGGGCTTCCAACTTTAATTCACAGATGAGGAAATCAGACTGAAGGGAAGTGTCTTGCCTGAGGCCACATGCCAATTCATCATTCACAATTTACTCAATGCTTACCAAGAACTTATTGCATGCCAGGCACCATAGTAGGCACTGAGAACCCATAACCAGGTTAAGCATAGATTTTGCTATTAAGACACCCACAGTCTTATTGGGGTAATCAGGATATGAACAGGTAATTGACAGAATAGGTCAAAAATCATGGTGGGAAGAAATCATTGTGGGCTGTGGGAGCAACAGAAGAAAGGTAGACAGTTCTATCTCCAGGGACCGGGGAAGGTATAATGAGCTGAACAAGGGCCCCTCAAAGATGTCCATATCCTTCTCTCAAGAACATGTACTGGGCTAGGGATATAGCTCAGTTGGTAGAGTGCTTCCCTTACATGCACAAGGCCCTGGGTTTAATCCCCAGCACCACAAAAGAAAGAAAGAAAAAAAATTTAAAAAAGAACATGTGCTGATGGTACCTTATATGACAAAACAGACTTTGCAGATGAGATTAAGCCAAGGGTCTTAAAATGGTAATGACCTTGGTTATTAATGTAAATCACACAGCCCTTAGGAGAGGGAGGCAGAAGGCTCAGAGTCACAGAAGGTACAACAATAAAGTGGAGGCCAGAAAGTGTGAAAAAGACCAGAAGATTCCATGCTTCCAGCTTTGACAATGAAGAAAGGGGCCAAGAGCCAAGGAATGCAGGCAGCTCCAAAGAGCTTCGAAAGGCAGGAGGAATGGACTCTACCTAGGGATCTGGGTGGAATGCAGCCCTCCCAGCACAGCTTCAGCCCAGCATGACCCATCTCCCTCTTGACACTCCCCCATGGTCAGAAAACAAATCTGTGTTGTTTTCAGCCACTAAATTTGTGGTGATTTGTTACAGGACAGCAGCCATAAAAAACAAAGGTAGAAGGAAATGAAGTGGAACTGGAGCTGTGCTCCATCAAAGGTAGCCAGCTCTCCAAGCTAAGAGCTCAGCGTGTTGGGGAGGGTGAAGTCTGGCTCACCCGGAGGGGCAGGTGGGGGACATGAAGGTGAGGCCCTGGAAGCTGGGGTTGTGCAGTCCTGGCCCTGTCTCACTCTGTCCTGAGTCCACTGTGGCTTCTCTGCCTCCTCTCTGTTGGACTAATCCCTTTGGACTCTGTCTCTCATCTCAAGTGAAGACAAGGACAATCTTTGATATAGGATTTTGGGGGACTAAAGATCCAGGTGAAGCACTTACCCTAGTGGCGGCACAAGGTAAGCTCTCGATAAATGTCAACACATGTCACATCTCTGTTAAGGGAACCGGAGGCCCACAGAGGCCTGGCTCAGGAGGTTTATCTGGGTAGAGGGGGGAATGAGCGTGTCGATCCCCTGCACCACGGCATTTCTACCACTCTGTACTGCCTCTTTGTGAAACTTCCTAACCTCAGGGGTTGTCTCTGTGTTTCAAGAACTACTCAATAGCCTGGCTCATACCTGTAATCCCAGCAGTTTAGGAGGCTGAGGCAGGAGGATCATTAGTTCAAAGCCAGCCTCAGCAAAAGTGGGGTGCTAAGCAATTCAATGAGACCCTGTCTATAAATAAAATATAAAATAGGGCTTGGGATGTGGTTCAGTGGTTGAGTGCCTCTGAGTTCAATCCCTGGTACCCCAGCCCCCCTACAAAAAAAAAAAAAGAACCACTCAATGGAGCCATGCTCATGGGTAAGAAGCATACTGGGCTTCTTGTGGAACTCACTGGAACGCCAGCTCTGGTTCTTGGGTGGGGTTCTGCTACACCGCACAAGGAGAGCAGAGGCCAGACACTCCTGCCGAGAATGTGAGAGCCACGTGAGAGCCACGTTGCACAACTAGGGAGGAGACTGGCAAAGCAGCAACACCTGTGAGGCACACGCCTTCCTCCTCCTCACTGTTCTCCCTCCAGGACGCCCGGTGTCCTCACCAGACGGCCTCATGGTCCCCATACCTCCTCTTGGATCACCATCCCTGGCTCAGTTCAGGGCCGGCCCTCGATCCTGTCTCTTTTGTGATCACAACCAGGAAAACGAAGCCCTGATAGCTTTCAGAGGCTAAGGACACACTGCCCCTCTCTCTCAGCAGAGCTTCCCACACTCCTATGCTCAGGAGCCACAACTATGAGGCCCTTCCTCGCCCTGGCCTCTTGGATAACTTGAAACGGACCACTCCGTCCTGTGATTCCAAGACAACGGTAACCAAGGATCCTACTGTGCATCTGGTTGTATTAGGAATTTGGAGAAAAATAATAAGAAAGATTGAGTCCCTGCCCTTGTGTATTCATAGCTAAATGGGCAGAAGATGGAAAAATATTTATCACCCCTTTCCAAACTATCTGTATATGGCAAAACAGGCTCTCAAACTCAAAGTGGTGGCTGGATTAGCCCGGGGGTGGGAAGGACCCTTTGACACACTTAAATGGCACTCTTTAAGCAGCTGTCAATGTAGCTTCTGCCTCGGGTTACCTCCGCTGTCTCCAGCTTGGGTGGCCTGCCCTCCTTGCCAAGTGCCAAGTGCAGAAGGCCTGGCTGTGAGCCCGTTCCAATCCTGGGAGCAGCTGTCTACCAGCTCTTTGACCTTGGATGACTGAAGTCATGACTCTTGAACTTGAGTTACCTCATCTGTGAAATGGTCCCACTTGGCTAAAAGGAGACACGATGGTAAAATGTCTACAAAGGTGCCAGCAAACAGAAGGTGCTTTCTCAATGCGGGGACCAAATTCCTATGCCATCCCACAGACAGCAAGAGTCAAACAGGATGAGAGTCAGACCCTCATTTCCTTATTGAAAATAAGCCTGGGTCCTCCAAACACTGTCTAATTGCTCCCGGCCAGTGCTCTAGAGTATAAAAGAGAGTGAAGGCCCCGAACAATCCCCACACCTTTTAATTTTTTTAATTGGGGGTGCAGGAGGCTCCAATTAGGGCAGTGGCGCCACCAAGAAGGAAACACAGCAGCAGGCCCCCAGGGGACTGTGCTCCTGCTGGGAGCAAAGCTCAGAGGGCACAGGCAGCACAGGGTTACCCTCCAGTGCAAACACCCATCCCCCACTGTCATTTCACATTAAAGGGCCAGGCACCAGAGGACAAGCTGGACGGTGACAGCTGCTCTCATTAACAGTTTGTTTCCCAATCTTTCTCCCTTCTGCTCTTCACTTAAAAAAAGAGAAAGAAAGGAAACAGAAAGCAGGGAAGACCGCCATCTAGACTTAGGCAGGAGGCCATGTCAAGGCTGTCTAGTGGTTCCGATCCTACTTTTGTGGTGGTGTCCACTCTGAGCACCTGACCATCTTCCCTCCTCTTGCCCACAGTGCCTCAGACTGTCGCCCACCTGCCAGAGCATCCTGCCCATGTGTCCACCACAGCCCCACGTGGTACTGTAGCTCCTGTGCTTGACTTGGCTGTGCATGTGGCCAGAATGGGATTTCGTTAAGGGCAAGGGCTCAGCCTTTATTCATCCCTCTGCCTTCAGGAGACTATTCCCTACAGTGATCTCAAGAAAGGCCAAGTCAACTCATTGATTTGAGCTTTTTGCTTATTAAGTACACATTGACCTCTGGAGCTAGGAACCCTGAGAGCCTCGGGAAGACAGAGAGACCAACATTTATGTTACATACCGTCCCCGTCCCTGCCTGTCTGAAGGGAGACACATTAACGTCGCAACAGAGTGACAAATGCTATTACAGAGAAGGAGAGGGTGACTGCAGAGAGACGCAGGACTGCAGCCAGGCTTAGAAGCCAGGAACAGGGAGAAAAGCTCTGGATCTCTCTATTGTTCATAATCCTGTCTGTGAATGAGCAGGGACAATACTAACAACAACTCAGCCTATGTCATGGGTGCTGCTTAAACATCTTTAAGCCTTTATAGAGCTCAGGGTCTCCTGCTGCACTGGGGGCAGCTCCTCTGAAGAGGACCCAGGAAATCACAATGTCAGAACAGGTGCTCAGCCATGTTTCTTGAATAAGCCCCTTGAACCTTGCAGTGGGCAGGAAAAACAGAGACACCCCATAGAGTTCAGAGGGGTGGAATGCCTTTATCCCACCCTCTCTGCAAGTCAGGATGAAATGTATGCAAGGGGTAGCCCAACCATTTGGGGCAAATCAGCATGTGGCCCTTCCCAAGTGCAGTCTCCAGGGAACTCTGACGTAATGTGCAGAGAGCCCTTTGGCCCGGGAAGGACTTAGCTTCAGCAAACCTCCTTTGCTACAGCCAGAGTGAGGCCCTCAAGGGTCACAGTGGAAACAGTAGGCATTTTCCAAAAAGCAGAGTTCAACTGAAGAGTAACCATCCACCAAAGCAGCATGTGAGTACTCTGTGAGTCAGGAGACTTCAACTCTGTTAACTCATGTGACATGTGACCTTGGCAAGTTTCTGGTCTAAATGTCCTCATACATAAAGCGAGTAAATGGGACAATACCTAAGGTCTCTTCCAGTTGCAACATTCTATAAACTCACACCTTCTGTGTTTATGGAGAAGAGGATTTACAGATCCTGTCGGATCAAAACTCACAGTCTGGAAGGAAGCAAGAATTATTTGCACTTAGCAATGGGGTTCTGGGGAGGAGGTGGTTCTTCAGATACCAAGAGAACAGGAATAAGGGCTCTCTGGCTTTGGTCACTGAGCTGGAAACATTTAACAAGCAAAGGCCTCCGCTTGCGTGCTGAGGCCAAGAGGCTACTTACTATGCAGCAGGCCACCAGGGCTCCTTGAGCAAATCCTGCCAGGACATCAGAAGGATGGTGCTTATGGTCAGATACTCTGGACAGTCCCGTGTAGAAGGCCATCATGATCAAGGTGAACTGCAGGAGGGGTCGAAGCAGGCGGGCACCTCTCCAGGTGAAGCGGGCCTGCAAGTATAGCTGGAGAGAGGAGACAAAACAAGCAGACACTGAGTGACTCCTGTTTGCAGGCCCTGTGACACCAACTCCAATCACACTGTGTTCCTGCTAAATGGAACTCCCCAGACTTGGGGCAGTAGGTTGTGGATGGAGCATTCAATGTGGACAGGACCTCGAGCCAGTTATTTAAATGCCAAGCCTTAGTTCTACAAGAACAACAACAACAACAAAAAAAAATAAGAAAAATAGAGATAAACTAGGGAAAGCTGAGAAAGATAATACACACAAATGAATTTCACATTATGTTTGGCACGTCTGTTTCCTTTTAACATCTTCTTGACTGAGACTAAGACCAGTAATGGGTCAGTAAAGACTTTATTTTACAACTGATAACAACCCACTTAATCCATTTGTGCATTTCCTTGGAGATAGCGGATGGACAATCCCTATACTCCCTGCCTCTCCCCACCCCTAAGGTCGTGGAAATACAATAGTGATAGGGGAAGTGGTCGTGATAGAGGGATGCTTCTGCTTCAAAACAAAGCACTCTACCCAAGGACAAGTTTCTAAGTCACCACTAGAAGCTATGGATTTTGAATTAGCATAGAAGGAAACACATAAACCAGCCAGACAATGCCAGAGAACTTTCAAGAAGAGACTGAGGGACACTGGATGGGGGGTGGGGGGGGGGGGGTAGAAGAGTAACCTGAAGAAAAATGGAAGGGAAAAAAAAAACTAAAAACACCTCTGGCTGAAGGAAAGAAGTTGAAATGACGTCAACTGGGTATTGTCCCCTCAGAGTTATCTGGCTGCAGTTTCCGTTCTAACCTCTGGGCACAACCTACTTCCCAGGTTCCTGTGGGAACTTGGGAAATGAGGGGGGGAAGCGGCAAAGGGACAAGGGGAACTTCCGACTACAAATCAAAGCCCTGGGAGAGGCCAGGGGAGAGGGGAAGCGCAGAGGGAGGGGCTGCTGGCCTCTGGCAGACCTGTGGCAGTGGCAAAGGGGGGCTCTGCCCTTCCTTCTGGGGTCAGGAAGAAGCAAGAAGCAGCCAGTTCCGAGGAGCCAGAAGAGTGGAAGGGCTCAGTCACTCTTGGCTGCAGGAATAGCGTCTAGGACTCAACCCTCAATGACTTGGAAAACTATTTCCAAAAAGGCCAGGCATGGAAAACAGCAGGCAGCTTCATAACCATTTTGAAATTATGTAAGCGTAGTATTGGAAAATCTAAGAGTAATGAATGAAAAACATAAGAGGCTGTACTGATGTCATTGGCCACTAAACCAGTGATAAAAATCAGTGGTCTTCTCATATGTAATTAAAAACCAGTTAAAAATCTAAAAGAAGCAATAAAATCATCCTGTTACAAATTCAGTAGTTCATATGTACGTTCAAATAGATTCCCATGGACATCATAGAAAAATTTAGGGGGAAAGAATAGAAAAAACTTATGCTGAAAATAATCCTTAAAGACAAAACCTGTACCTATAGCCAGAAGAGATTGAGATCAAAAGTGTCAGCCAGGTTCCATGACAGGTGAAAAAATGTACAGAAACGATTAGTTTAAATTCCTGCCTGGCCAGGCCTAGTTAGGGGATGCAAAAAACTGTACTAATGTGTTTTGTAGGTCCCATGAAGGAAGCTGGGGGAACAGGGTCCATGACTTAAGGGGAAGGAACAACTTGAACCTTAAAGATGAACAGGAGCATTTGCTGGGGGTTAAGGGAGCAGTGGGGAGGGTATGGATTCCACACAGAGGGATGGCTGAGCTCTGCCATCCATGTCCCCAGGAACTTCAAGTCATTCAGCACCTCAGAAAAGAGGATACATGGTCCATGAAAAGGAATAAGGCCACAGAGACAAGAAAGGGTCAGTTCTCAAAGGACCTTGGATGTCAAACTAAAGAACCTGGTCTTTATTCAGAAGACCCATATTCTCCACTTTGTATGGAATACAAAAGGACTATTTAAAAAAATAAAATAAAAAAGAAACTGGCAAATGCTCATTACTCTGTAATACATCCTTATTTCTGTCACTGATAATGCTTATGAGATTTCTAAAGGCTCTGAGAAGCCCTGCAGAGAAAAAAAAAAAAAGAAGATTTATTTGGCTTTAAGTCACTATTTTTACAGAACACCTACCTACTGGATCACAGAGAATATTACCGTATGCAATGGTGAAAAACATACGGTTTTGAGCAAGGCACCCAATACCATGAAAACAAAATAATAATTTGGATGCTTTTTAAGGGCTCTAGGCAGGGCTGGCTCAATATAAGCAATGCCCAAATCACAGTGAATCTAAAGCTACAGTCCACAAGGCCACTCCCTCCTTTCTGTTGAAAGGACCTTCAGCAGACTGTGCCATCATGGATCAAAAGATCCCTTCCTTCTGGGAGTAGGGATGGAATGATGTTGGTCCAGCTCCTGCTCAGCAAAAAAGTCTTCAGAACAACGGCAAGTTCAGGGAAGAAGGAAAAGTCTGCATACCCTGTGCCCACTGTGGTCTGGCCCTGATCCAGCTGTGGTGGGCAGTGGATGAGGCGGGTGGATAGTAGAAAGATGTGGGTCTTAATCAGAAGACCCTCAGTGAACCTTAGCTTCCCTTCCCCCATAAAAGTGTCATAGCTGCTATCACAAAGGCTGTGGTACGGATTGACTGCTAAGGCAGACAGAGGACAGCACAACATGCCACTCAATACATAGAACAACTTCGTCCATCAAACATTTAAAGTAGCCCCAAGATATTTCTATTTCCCACACTGAACAAAGCTGCAGGTCTTCCGAAAAGACTTGTTTGAAATTCTCCACCCTTCCACTCGCTAGCTGCACGGACTTCAGGTCTCAGGCCTTGGAATCCAGGGTGGGGCAGAGGAAGGGTGGGTTTCCCAACCGGACAAGGCCCACATCTCCCCTGCCACTGACTCAGAGACTTCTCAGGCTGGAGTGCATTAAAAGAAAATTCATGCACGAGAGGAACTTGAGGATGGAGGAGAGGACAGGCCTCAGAATAGCTCCCAGAAGAGAGGAAGAGTGCTTACGAATGAGCAAGAGGAGGCGCCATGAGGAGAAAATTCCTGAAGGAAGCCGTCATTCTAGTGACAGAGATGCAGCTGCTCCCCCAGTTCCATCAGTGATGACTACACTCGGAGCAGGACTGTTCCTGGGATCCACAGCTGGGGCTTTCGGGGAGACAGTGCAACTGTCAAGTGCATTTGGGGGGGGGGGGTAATACAGCTCTGAGTCCATGACACTCTGCACATTTCAAGTGCATGGTCATTGACCTCTGTGCACCTCAGTATCATCTATAAAGCAGGATGGACCACATTTCCCTCTCAGGATCAAAGGATATAACATAGAAAGGAGCCTGGTGGGCAGAGGACAGGCACACAAAACATTCTTGAGAAATCTAGTTGCCTATGCCTTGATAAATGAGATGTACTCAATGACTGTGGCGATTTCACCAAAGCAAGTAAACCACTGAGGGAGATTGTGCAATAGCCCCTCCACCCAGTGGAGTCATCTGATTTGAGATCTAAGCTAGGGGCAGCAGGCTTTGAGGCTGATCATGCTTTGAGTTGTATTCAGCAACTCCCTGTATCTCTCAGTAATCTCAGAGCTGACTGGGTGGAATTTTGCAGGTTCATACACAAGTCACTCCAGGCCAGAAGTTTGGGCCTCATGAGGATGGCTGAATACATTCTGGACCTGGGAACAAAACAAAACAAAAAAAATAACTGGAGTTTCAATCCATTTCCAGTGCAAAGGGGCAGGTACATTTTATTCAAGAGAGGAAGTCAACCCTGCTGACCATAAGATGCCAGGAGACAGCAAGATGTTCCCAGAATCAGAATCAGAATGCCTGCAGGGGTTTCAGCAGAGTCATGCAGCCCACAAAGGCTGGTTAGGAAAAGGATGAGCAGAGCTGGACTAAACCAGAAAGCCTAAATCACCGGACCTCCCACGGACCTCCCACAGTCCACAGCCGATAGATTGTCCAATGTTCTCATCCCCATCTCTGTGGAGGAAGACCCCAGGGCCATGCTGCAGCATCAGCAGGCAGAATCGTTTCCTGGACATTGCTGGGAGCAGGGTTAGATTTGCAATCAGAACAACGAGGGTGGAACCTCTACTCTACTACATAGCAGCTGAATGTCCCTGACTAGTCATCTATTTTCTCACATATCACATGAGATTTTTTTTTTTTTTGTGGTGTTGATGATTGAACCCAGGGCCTTGTGCATGCAAGGCAAGCACCCTACCAACTGAGCTATATCTCCAGCTCGTAAGATTTTTCTATTTTTTTTAATGCTGCAGGCATCTGTTATATTCAAAACTCTGAAAGACACAGATTGAATGAAATAAGTTCTCACAAAAATTCACGTATGTGGGGCGGGGTTGTGACTCAGTGGTAGTGCTCTTGCCTAGCATGTGTGTGGCACTGGGTTTGATCCCTGGCACCACATAATAAACCAATAAAATAAAGGTATTGTATCCATCTACAACTAAAAAAAAAAATTTAAAGTGCACGTATGTGTATGTATGTATACGTATACACACATGTATATATAAGTCTATATACAATCTTAAAGTCCTTTTCGTGTACCAAGATTCTGTTTCCATTTGCTAAAGAACTGTGGATGTGATGAGAATCACAGGTGAAAAGTCCTTGCAATGCAGAGATCACCCATACAATGGAGCTCTCCCTTCTCTTTCCTGGTCCCAGCTTCAAAATTGGAGTCCTGCAGAATTCCAACAAAACCTCCTTACACTGAATGCTCCTCTGGTTTGAACCAGCCAGGTCAGATGTGTGTGTGTGAGTCACACTCTCATTCTTGCTAAGTCATTTGTGTTTCATGACATGATTTGCATACTGGTGAAACAGGTCTCTACTGTCCTCTCACTTCATTTCCATTGCTCTAGGGACAGTTGAGCTAAGAGTGAAAAGGAGGCTTTTGTCCTTCCTATGTCCCTGCCTCTCCTCTTCCTGGAAGCCTATCCAGATCTCCAACTCCCATAGTAA